TGCGAAATCGGCAGTGTTTATGACACTATCGTTAACGGTAGATTTTCATGCAACAAGCACAATGCTAATCAATTTCGTTCTTTTTAAAACGCACTATGCTCCGGGATAGTAAGATAAAACGACGATGACTGAGCTGACGCAGTACGTGCAACGACTAAATTATGACATGCTGATAAGAAAATGCAAAAGTATGTACAAAGTAATTAACAAACCAGTGGCAATCGGTGCCGAAACGGTCCACTTGTGCCCCTCTGTCAGGGTTTAAGACGAGCAGCTATGGTACTTCGACAAATATCTTAAGAATAAGCACAGAAATGATAAAAAAAAAGTTTATTCACTTATCAGCTTAATATATCACTGATGGACATGATAAGCTATCGTTGCAAATAATCATTTACTAAGCGGTGGTCAGCAGATTTCACAACTTTCGTGAATTGACCAGTTCATAGTGTCATCGGTCATCGAAGGCGAACTAAATCGCGTTTCTGTATTGTCTGGCCCTAAATGTATACATAACCTCGACTGAGTCAGTTTATATGGAACTAGTGAATTATAACCCATAAGAAATGGGCTGAAACATCTGTATCGGTAAACTATTTTTTGACAACCAGAGTAATTCAGTCGATACAACATAACCAATAGTTTTCGAGCTCAAGATCCAGTTGGGTTTACTCACCCTTTTTCTTTCCTTGGTTTATTAATGAATCCAATGATATTGGGAAGAAAAGAGAACTTCATGCTGTACTTGTCACATGATTGCATTTAAAATAAGTCACTTCTGAGTGATGGCCCAGAAACGGAAATCAGAACCGCACCATCAAAATCATTAAAAAGAGCGGAGAATGGCTCAAACATAAAAGCATTGGAAGTAAGACATTACAGCGATGACAAACATTCATTAATTTTACGATGGACAATTTATTTTATTGCGCACAAACAAACTGACCTTATGACGTTTTTCAGCTTGTAAAATGCAAACAGACGAGTTTCATGGATTTTCAACTTCGTCTTTAGTCAGAACCTACCTAAGACTCGTAAAGTTTGTATTTCCAATTATTTCTCTTGCTCAGATTAATGTCTGCTCATTGAATCCAATATAGCAAAATTTCTTACCGAAATTTGTCTGGCGACACTTCCGCTTTAAGCTGCTTTAATAAACAGAGGTGTTAGAAATTTC